TATGTCATTGGTAGGAACATGGAGGAATCTTGAAAGCATTATGTTAAGTAAAATAAGTCAGAATTTCAAAGACAAATGTCAAATGTTTTCTCTCATGTGGAAACTAGAGGGGAAAAAGAGGGGGAAAGGATGTTATGAGAGTAGAAGGAAGACAACTGGTATAGAGGAAGGGTATATATCTGAGTCAGGGAGAGTAAGAGTAGGTATTGGAGTGATACAGATCAAATTTTGTTATATGTGTATATGAATATGCCACAGTGAAATTTCCCACCTTGTATAATTAATGTACRCCAATAAAATTTTATCACACAGTGTACAGAGGGTTAATTCTAGTTTTCCTATTTTCTTCTGCTTTATTCATGAATGGTAAGCTAATTGAGATGAATTAAAATGGATTATGTAAAGTTGAATTTTAAGGTTAATTAGACAATTTGTAGAACATGGAAGTATAAAGAATTTAACATGGAAACTATTTTGTAATAATAAAACCCAAGCTCTTCTCTCTAGGAATAACATAAATTTACAGAACCAAGTCAGAGAGAGTATCTGTGGCTAATTTGTGGTTGCTGATCTCCTTACAGATAGAGTCAAGAATCAAGATGTGATATAGGTTTCTCAATGAATAATGTTGTAAACATTTATCTGTTATACATGAAGGTATAAATATAAGTGTTACACATTTAAATGTTATACATGAAAGTTTACTCAAAGTAATACTTTATTAACAGAAAAGAGATATGCATGCACACACATATCACAAATATTCAATATTATTTCCTACATGTTATTTTTTAAAAACATGAAATGAATAAGGGGCCATCTTGCATTTGAGATGCAAAATATTTCTTAACATTAAGCTAGGTTGAAGACTCCAAAAAAATAGTACATAATCACTCTTTGCATGAATATTTATGGATTACATTGATATTCACAATAACCTATTAGAAATAGGTCTTTCATATCTATCTTTTACTTTAAATACCTAGTCTTCATAGAGTCATTATCAACTTGTGGAAAATCCTGGTATTCAGTTATTCCTCACAGTAATCCAACTTACATATTTAATCATATATAGAACATAAAGTATGAAAAAGATGCTGTTATTCACAATATATTTAGAATGTTATTATCTGCTAACCAATATATCAAAAAGTGGTTCAAACTAAGATTAATTGATTGTTTTTCTAATTACTTATTTTTATTTTAAAAATATAGTTTTGGAGAAAATGTTTATACTTATCAAAGAATTAAAATTATACATATTTGTTTTATATTGTTTGTTTATATATATATATATATATATATATACACACACACATACATAAATATGCACAGACACCTATATAACTCAGAATCACTTTTATTCATTTATTGTAAAATATATTCTATTATTCCATTTGAAAAACTTCTTTAAGATGTAGAGATAGAGTCCTTAATTCCTAGTTTTCTTCTAAATACCCTTTGAAATTTTCTTCATTCTCATACAATAGCAGTGACCACAGGTTAATAAGCATTAAGTATTCCCACACTTGTATATCAAAAAGAAAAATTTTGCCAGCTTCTCATCTATCAACAACCAAGATTCAAACAAATTTTGTGTGTGTGTGTCTAGACTCATCCTTAAACTTACTCTGAACTGCTAGATGCAAAGGCAAGAATTGCCTCCTAGAAGCTTAAGCACAAAGTTTAAAAGATAAAAGTTTAACTCTATAGGTAGGATACATAAGGAAGCACCTTCGGTTTTAGTATCTGGATATCCTGATATTTGTCAGGAAATAAATCTTGAATCTGGTAAAATATAGAATTAGGTTTTAAGGTTTTCTTCCCAACAAAATACTAATCTTACCCAGTATAAACCTATTTGCATAGGTGTCAATGGAAGCTGATCTTATCTGCATCCACATTGGAGGGCTTTACCTGTGACCCAATTTTAGTTAGTTAAGTTTTGGAAGTTAACTTTCCACAATTTGGGAAAGATTTTTTTCCTCCTCTTACAATGGAAATATAGGAAAACCAGGTTAGATGGACAAGAATGAGGCAGTATGTCACTTAAACTGCCTCTGGTTGCCATATTGGAATAATGATAAAAACAAGTTTGAGGTTAAAACATACTCTGTAAACATCAGAATATACAGAAGGAGGTAATCACTGTAATTTTTGAGTAGCCAGTTGAGCATTTGCATAAACATACATTCATCTCTAAGCCCACCCTGTTACCATACCTTTTTTTCTTTAGTGCTTGCTGGGAACTAAACACAGGGACACTCTACCATTCTACATCCCCAGGACTTTTTAGTGTTTACTATTTTATTTGAAGACAAGGTCTTGCTAATTTCCCAGCTTTGGGATAATTCATATCCCCTTATCATATGATGACCACACAATTCATATAACAATCCTTCTATTTAGGAAAATGATTATTSAAAGGAACAAACCTTATATTTAATTCCAGAAAATGAAAAAAGATGTCCCATTATTAGACTCTATCTCATCATTGCTGGAAATTGTCTCTATATTTATCTTTTCTTCACTCTTCTGTATTTTATTTTTTAATCACTGTTCTTATCCAACTAAAATTTTTGTTAAATGTAAAAATTTGTTTTCATGAATTTGAATARGAAAAAAAACAATTCAGTACACTTTGTAAAATATTTCCTCAACTTTATTAATCCAAACCAAATAGAACATCTTTTTTCAAACACATATTAATAAAAACAATCACATTTTTTTATGATAGACAGTAAGTCCTTTCAATGCCTTAAAAAATTAAATACTATGCTTAGTACTTTGGATAAAATTATATACCCCAAATTGAGCATGTGTGGAATTTTGTATAAAGCACTAATCACTTAAGGACACAGCCACTTAATGTTTTTAAGAATAATATATCTACAAATTTAAAGAGATTTTTAATTAGTTACTATCATTTGGGCAATATATTTATTTCTAAAGTGTTTGAAATGTTAGGGCTTTTTTGTATTGTTTTTCACTAATATTGCATATATTCATGTTTTAATGTTAGTCTTTGAAAATACTTTACACTCCTTCATAATGTGAACTTTAAATCAAATGAATATTTGTGTCCTTTCTCAGCTCCAACAAATGTCTGAAACATTTAAAACTATGTAATGCATGAAACTCTAATTATTATTTTTCAGCATTACCATTGAAACTGTATGAAGAAAAATATCTGTCTATATCTCATAACAACAAAAAGATTAGAATGTCAAAACTGAAAGCATAATGTTCTGTTTTCAATCCTTTTCATTAGTGAGCCATGCTTCACTAATGAATTCCTTGATTAAAAAACAAAGCCCAAATGTTTTCTGTCAGTATTTCAAGATTTCTTATTGCTGATTAAAAGTAAAAATATATTTGAGGCTTAGCTGATTTTTTAAAAAAAAGTTTTTAGCMGGTTTGAAAATTCAGCATGAACATTGTCTCTAAAGCTTCATTGAAAATTGTATCTGTCACTGCTCCACATAGGCTATAAATTCTGTTGAAGTGTAAAAGTACAGATTCAAACACAGTGTTTTTCTATAGTGGATATATATTTTAGCACACTAAAATTCACAAACCTTCATGAATTATCTTTTCTATGAATTAGAAAGAATGATTTAGAATTTTTTTTTTAAAGGAGGCACAGTTGTTGGAGGAGATATCACAAGAGAGCAATAGAAGTGAGAAAATGAAAGGAGATTAATTCTTTATTTCAAGAAGGTCATCAATCAACAATATCAACTGAGTATTTATAAGCAAACAGTGGCTTTCAATATTATATGTATAAGTATGAAACTGCTATAGTAAAAGCAATTAATTTGTACAATAAGTGTTAATAATTATAATAATTAAAATAATAAACAAAATAAGTGTTTTAGGTTAAGAATGCCCTAAATAATAATGTAAAGTGTATAACAACTAATTCTAAGAAATAAGCTATATAGTTTCATTAATCATACATTTATAAATTTACAAAATTAAAATATCAAAATATGGGGAGGGGGATGTGGTTCAAGCTGGCATGCTCGGGGCTCTGGGTTCCATTCTCAGCACTGCCGCAGTCCAGCTGCAGCAAAATAACCGGGGGGTGATGAACAACTTGTGTAGATTGATACAGCTGGAGTGGGAGCCKTTATTGTAGGACAGGAGTGGTATATATACATTCCACACAGCTTACCTTAATTAACATAAAATAGATACAGCAGTCAACCAATAAGGAATCACCACACYTAATGGCTCGCTAGGGTTACTTCACAAACCACTCCCTCTGGCAAAATGCCAGGAGCCATTCCGACCGACTTGGCTGTAGCTCTCAGCACAGCACCACATAAAAATAAAATAAAAATGTTGTGTCCACCGAACACTAAAAAATAAATATTAAAAAATTCTCTCTCTCTCTCTCTTTAAAAAAAAATTAAAAAATAAACTACTAAAATATTTTTCTCAAGATGTCTTCAAATTTTATTTGAAATATTATGCTTATGAAAATATCATTCAGAAGGCAAGGGAAGTTTATAAAGAAATTTAAATAAGATAGAATATTGATGTAAAAAGGTGACAGTTTATCTGGTTTCAGGTATTGTCTATCATTTCTTCATAAGCCACCCCCACCAGAATAACAAAAATAACATAAATCATAATTTTGTATCAATATTTTATAGAAGCAATAAATATAAGGATGTTTATAGAAAATGTTCCTATTTCCATTGACTTTTWAAAAAGTCTAAGTAAAGCAGTTGAAGAATAATCATCTAGACATCCCTGCCTTCCAAAGAGATTCTACAATGAAACCCTCAAATTCAAAGTAACAAGGCCTAACCATTTACATGATTATTTCCTCTGCGACTATGCCAAAGGAAATAAGTGCTCAAGCTTGGAATAAGAGGAAAGAGTCACATATGAGCCACTTCATAAAACATTATGCTAATATGGATAATGTAAACCCCATATATGAAATATTTAATTCCAACCTAAACTGTATATTCTTTCTGGCTCCACAGATTTCAGTTGTGTTTGCTATTACGGAGATTCCTATCTAGAATTTCAGAATGTGTTTTTAAATCCACAAAATAACATCACCCTGGAATTTCAGACCTTCAGTCCTTATGGACTCCTGCTGTATGTCAAGCAAGAATCAAATTCAATAGATGGATTTTTTATTCAATTGTTTATTGAAAATGGTACTTTAAAGGTAAGTCCTTCAGATCATTTAATTTAAAGAAAATTTGAAAAAGTTGGTTGACTGCCTGAATTAGTGGTTATTGTTGAAATAAAATTTAAACATTTCTTTATCTATTATACTTACCAACAGGCTGTCTCTGTTCTATATATATATTCTGTTTAGTAGTTATATGTATCAAAACAGTATGATTTGAATTAACTTGAATTATCTTCTTTATGTTTTTATGTTGACCACTTTTATGTTTTCCAGTTTCCCACTCTCCCAATTATAATCATTGTTACCACTTTTTATAATCTCAACGGGCAGGTGTGCTCTGGAGACCCTTATGTAAATAATTCCAACATCCTTTCATAGTCCTGAAGAAAAAGACTATTTTCATGATAATATTAATATACTGTTTATCTTTTTCACTCTCACTGTCATAAGTATACAATGGAAATTTTCAGAGGATACATATTGTGTTCTTATATTTTTTTAAATTTTCACAATGACTTTCAATTTTTAATTTTGTGAATATTGACAGGCATAACCCAATTAAAAAAAAAATTCTTTGAAGGTCTTAATAATTTTTAAGAGTGCAAAACAATTCTGAGGTTAAATAATTAAAATTGCTGATTGAACACATGGTAGATTTTATAATTTTCTTATTATGGGTCCTTTTGATTGATACATAATAACTATATATACTTACAGGTGCCTTGTGATGTTTAATATATGCATACGTTACATAACAATCAAATCAGTGTAACAAAGAGGAACAGAGATTTCAAGATAATTAGAAGAGAGGGTTTTCACCATTTTTCAAAGGAACAGTAAATGTTTGAAGTAAAGGGTCACAACATTTTTCAAAGGCCCAAGATTACACAGATAATAAAATTTAAAAGCCAACTTTGATTTTAAAGTGTATGTTCTAAGCCTAACATTACTGTATCTTAACAAATTACTAATATTAGTATTCTAAAATTTACTTTAGTAATATTATTCTAATCATCATTGCAATAAATTAACCAGATCAGCAGTCCTCTATAGGCAACAATAATTTATTTTTCCTACCATTCCTTTCATGATGTGATATATCACCATGAATTTCCATGAATGGTCAAGGTACCTTAAGCTTCTAGTAGATTGATTTTGTTGAAATGTTCATTTTTCTTAAGTAATAAAATATATTCAGAGAATTTAGCACAATAGCTGATACAAATATCAACTCAACATAGCAGCATAAAAGCAGAAATATTTTGATTCATTCTTGTATCTTGTATTCATTCATTGAACTACGTAGCTATCACTTGTCATTATGCCAGGTTCTCAAGATTCTGGAGTAAACAAAACACACTTGGTATTATGTGTTATCTACTAAAAACAACTTATGTTGTTTTTAGTAGATAACACATAATATCAAAAACAGTAAAAAACAGAAAAAAAAGAAATAGAATTACATAATGAATGAAATAATATAACTAATCACCCTGCATCAATCTGATCCTCTAAAAAAAATTATCTTGTCCCTGCTCTACAGCACTTTTCTCATTTAAGAGAGAAATCTCCTTTGCCCTTTGAGATGAAGCAAAACTACAGCAAATGTTAGAGATGGTAACTCTCATATAATATAGAGAATTGAGAATTGGTCATGTCAGAATGTTTCTCCGCAGCRTGATTTTTTTTTTCTGCTAATATAACTGCCATGACCAAATTCTGAAACAGCTAGTTGCTTTCACCACTGAGGACATCTCTAATCAAAGGCAGCATGAGTAAGTACCAGAACCTGTAGGAGTTGTGAATAAAAATGTTTTAAGTAATAATGGAGTATGAAGGCATGTCACTATTTACACTTTGAAATGTAAAAAAATTAACTTGTAGTATGTTAAACCAGGACATTTAGGAACTATAAAACTATTGGTTGAAGAAACTTGGAGAATTTCTTTTCCTTAGATTTTACAACAAAGAAAATATAAACTGGCATGTGTGTAATAATAATACTACTATTTTTTTTGAACTGCAATTATTGGACAGTTTTTATTTTAAGAAAAGGTAGTAAGATTTCATAATCTCGGACTAGAGCTGAGCTCTCAGGGTTTGATTCCCAGCTCTGCTCTCAGGAGCTTGGGACTCTGTATTTATTTTGTGCTTAAGTTTACTCACTTGTAAAATGTGTGGAAGAATAAATATATATTGAGATATTTAAATTAGAAAATAAATACATATTGTGAAATAAATGTCAAAAAGAATAAATTCTTACAGACACATAGAATGGTGTCTAGTATGTAATAACTGTATGTGAGAGTAGTTAGCTGTTTTCTCCCTGCATCTTAAAAATAACCTRCAGACAAACTAAAGCTCTCAGAGAGTGACTGTATTACACATGCTCTTCTGTTTTAAAGATAGTTCATCAGGAATTTCACTCTTTTATAAAAATCAAAGAATCCATATCCTTTTCACTTCACATTATTCTTGCATAAAATGATTTAGAGGAAATTTAAGTGTTATTCAACCATGATTTTTAGATTCCTCTRTTCTATGATGATTTGTGAGACTGTGCTCCAATTTCCACACCAATTTTTACATATAATCATAAGGGGATTGCATTTACATTACAGTTTTCACAAAGACATATTTATGGCTGTACTTTTAGAGAGATCATAATTTAAGGCTTATTCAAATTCTAGAATGGCAGAGCTGTTTATAAAAATATTAAAAGGAATTTAAGTTTTTAGGAAAGTTTAATATGTCAAACTTATTTTTTAAAAAAATATTTTACTCATACCAAAACTATAAGTAGGTATATTCACTGTAAACATTCAAATATCGGCAATTGCACTTATTAGCTGTGCGATAAATCACTATACGTCATTAACTAATGTCAAGTCACTCACCTCAGTTTCCACCTCTAAATACTGAAGATAATAGATGATATCTCCTTCACAAATTTTTGTTTTTTAATTTGACACCTGCATACTCCTTTTATAATTCACTATATAGAGTAATAATTTTAAAACAGTAGTTATTGTATGTATTTATATTTACATATATATAGTACTGAAGCTATTTTAATAAAAGGTAAAATCAAGTAATATTAATAGAATTGTATGTAAAGTATCTAATAAATGTTTAACTTTGACATTCTTGAATATAACAGAAAAGTAATAATTTAGTAATGACTAATAATTTTCTAGTATATTTGAACAAATTAAGATCATCCCACACATGTATACTTTAGTTAATATATTATCACTTTAGCTCAAATAACTATCTTAACTGAGTTTATAAATTTCAAAGTATTAAATATAAAAAGCATATAAATTATTACCAAGTTATTAAAAGTTCTAAATATTTTGTCTTGGACACAGAGTAACAATTCACTAAATAACAATGTTTACTTAGTTATACATGGATTGAGAGGAATGATTAGCAAAATGGTATGAAATTTTTTTCTACAAAGTGCATATCTGTATTGAAGAYTTTAATGTTTCTTAAATACTTCTTAAAATCAATTTACAGTTTATAAATTGATAAAGGAAAGGAACTCTTTGCAGTGGATAAATATTATGAAAATCAAAATATAAATCAATGTATTTATATATGTACTACTTATGTGAAGATTTAGATATACCACCTGAAATATAGCTCAGTGCATAGGAGTTATGAAACACTAGGCATCTGTTTCTTAACACATATATGAGTTATAGATACCATGTAGATAGAATAAAAATCTTTAAMGTATTTTGGGAGAAACAACCCCAATATAATCAATATTCTTACAGGCACATGCTTGCTTTGAAAATTAATAAGTCATTGCCCCCCCCCCCCACCGATAGGATTAGCACGGGTACCTGCTCATTCATACCMAATATAGACATGGTTTCCCTCTCTAGACCATGATTTAGTTGGCCCATTAGCAGTCATCCTACAGATGGTCCTAGATGCCCTCAAGCATCAGAAAGCTTGGAAAGTGTGGTTCACTTTTAGAACCTTTAAATCCCTCTTCCTGTGACATTAACATTGGCTTCTAGATTGCATTAACTAGTCTTTGCATTGTTTAACTGCTAGTGTGTGCTTACCAATAACATTTGCTTCTGCTAGCAAAACAGGAAACCTTTTTCAACCATGTTTTCCAAAACACTAGAAAAGACTGAATCATACTAGAAGACTGGCAAATGTTTGTGTTCAATGAGTTTTACATTTGAAATTTAGCACTCTTTACTTGCATATTTGAGGTGTTACTTTTCTTAAATTTCAAACTTATTGTATTCTCAAAGCAACACGAAAAGTATTGGTAAAGATTGTGTCAACCATAAAATATTAATTTCATAGTAAAAATCTGTTTAACAAAAACATATTTTTTCTTCTAGTACCACTTTTTCTGTGCTGGTGAAACAAAATTGAAAAGCATTCACACTACCATTAGAGTGGATGATGGASAAAGATATAAACTGTTTATCAGGTAAGATACACTTGTTTTCTACTTAATCTAGTAGACTATTCTTTTGGTTATTGTCCTCGTCATTTTAAAATTTAGGTTATCCTGATTAGTATTCACATGTGCTTATATGTGAATTAATGTTTACYAAGCTTTTCTATATATCCTAAAAAAGTGTACTAAGTAGAGAATATTATAGGGGTTATATTGTCAACAAACTTATATAAGCATATTACGAAGAAGCTCTGAAAGCCTCATATTATTTTCCACTTAGAGGAGTTATAGCAATGAAATAAGGTGTTGTTTTCTTTCAATAAATAAAATGCAATGTATTCAGTGTAAAATTTGAGATATTCAGAAACATACAGAAGAAATTTACAAAGACCCATTTTATCACAAACCAGAAAAATTAGAGAATGTACATTTCTGACATTTCCAAAAGCTGTATCAGAAGGCAACCCCATTTCCAAGTGCTTGTCAAATCAGCTATAAATCAGGTACCTATCTAAAAAYGGTAACATGATATTTTATTCATTCCTACTTTTATTTTATTTTACTACTTATACTTACTGGTCTAATTCCGAGGCTGCTGATCCATTTTGATTTGATTTTTGTGTAGGGTGGGAAATAAGGGTCTAGTTTCATTCCTCTACCTATGTATAACCAGTTTTCCCAGCACCGTTGCAACAAGATATTTGTTTTTAACTTTACTTTTTTTATTTTTAGCAAAGTATACCTAATTTAGATTTAATKTTTTTTTTCATTGTGAGTTTTACCACTCCCCAGTCCTTTTTACTTTTTTGAGACAGAGTGTCTCTAAATTGAGGCTGGCAAGTTCAAGTTCAAGTTCCAGCCTCCTGAGAGGCTGGAATTTCAGGCATAAGCCACCACACCTGGCTCAATATATGAATTTTAGTGGGAAATAATTCAGCCAAAATAGCCTTGTGGCAGTTTGAAAGTTGAGGCTAATCGAATGTAGGCAAATTTCTCAAGATCATATTGCTCATCAGTGGGGAGCAAAATTAGAATCCAGATCTCCTGCCTCCTAACCTGATGAATGTTTCCACTATGATATGTTCAGTCAGTATTTTTAAAATGACCAAATATCATTTGAAGTCTTCTTTAAAGGAAACATTAAGTGCAAAACATTTAAAAATTTTAAGAATACCTACTTTTCACTGTTCTCATTACAATGCCACTTTTAAGATTATATATCAGCCCCCCAAAAAAATCACTTATTTCCCTCTTTTTCAGTGCTGGGGATGGAAAACACAATGGTGCTTTACCACTAGGCTACAACCCCAGACCTTTTTATTTTTTTACCTTGAGATGGGGTCTTGCTAAGTTGCCAAGTGTGGCCTCAAATTTGTGATTCTCCTGCCTCAGCCTCCCAAGTCACTGGGATAACAGACTGTGACACTATGCCCAGTAAGATCACCTTTATTTATGTGTTATGTCACTATGATAATTTTTCCATTTACATGCATTGTTGTGTTTAATTTGTATTAAACATAGTTGACATTCTTTTGATATTCGATCTAAATCATCTAAATTAAGAAATATTTCTTTTCTGGCCATTGGTTTGTCTGAAATATTGTAACAGAAAAAACTTACAGAAATATAGTCTTCTCTATGATTATCCTTCATAAATAGCAAGAGTAGAGTTCCATTAATTTATTTTCTATGCCAATAAAAATGTTATTATAAGATAAAAAGGGGGAAATCTTTAATTTTAAGTTAAACACAGTCAAGAATTCTGTATTCACAATTTTTTGACCATTAACAGACTCTTATATAAATAGTTGCACACATTTCACTCTCAACTCTGCACTTTTCCATCTCATTTCTGCTGAAGGATGACATTCCCCTGATATCTGAACAAAGAAGGGACTTTCCTCACATGCTCTTCTAACTGTGGGGAAAAAAGAACAGCAAGGTCCTATGATGTACAGTTCTTACAGAAAGCACAAAACAAACATACTCCATGAAAAACTAGTGAGCTTATTATTTTTTTAGAACTAGGAAGAAGACAAGCTGTTCTACAGAGTTACATGGTCCTTTAAATATATATATATATATATGATTACTTAAAATAGAAAACTCAGGAAGGAAAATCTGAAGTATTTAAAATCAGGTGAAATATACAGTTGTATAATKAAGATATTAAAAGTATATATACTCATACCACTTTAGTGAGAAATTAGCTATAGCTATATTTTAATGAAAGGAAAAATGACAATGGGAAAAGCAGTGRTGTTAGACTACGGAGCAATAGCTTATGGTACATTCCAGAAGTAAAGCAGAGCCCAGCACTGAGGTGCACGCCTGTAATCCCCAAAACTCGGGAGGTTGAAGAATGAGGATTTAAAGTCAGCTTTAGCAACTCATAGAGACCTTCAACAATTTAGCTTCACCCTGCCTCAAAATAAAATGTAAAGTTGACTAAGGGTGTAGTTCAGTGGTTGAGTGCTTGCCTAGCACATACAGACTCCAAGTACAATCTCCAGTGCTGAAAAATAATTAAATAAAACATAAATGGGTATGTATCTGTCACTCCAATTTTGAACACCACCCATATATTTAAGCCCAAGTTACTAAGAGAGTTTGAGAATTTGAATTTTCCATCAAACACGAATATGAAAATGTGATGCTGTAGTTTATCCAGGTCTGTTGGTATATTTATAAAATTTTAAATACATTGTATAATAGTTATATTGTTAATATATACTATTTAATATATACAGTATGGCATTGATTGTATTATAACATGTAATTATTCATTTATACATAATTATGTTATAAAAACTGAACTTGCATTTAATAATGGACATGTTGGAAAAATTTCTTCATTTAAAGTCACTACATCCATGTACCTTGTCCTTGAAGGAAGGGAAAATTTAAGACTCAAAAATAGAATTAAGTTTAGTTTTTCTGACCTCTTCTGCTATGGGACTTTGAGGGATTCAGAGGGTTTCGTTTGTTTTTGTTTTTCTTTTCTTAAATGCTATCATTTAAAACTAGTACCTTGAATAAAAAACACATCCTTCATTTGTGTCTTATACTTAAACTTACAGTCAACATCCTGATTTGTAAGTAAACTGCAGGAATTCTAGTAGAACTTTCTCATAGTAAAATTATTAGTTTTGCTCTATTGTTGGGATAGGTGGGCAGTTTCTTATTTATGAACTGTACAGAGTCAAGCTAGACTCAGAGAGRACATCCTCAGTTATCCTTGAGAGAATCATTTATAAGCTACCCTTTATGTACAGCCTTGTGAACATGTAATAAATTACACACAATTTGGGGGGAAAAAAGAGCATAGTGTTTTTGTGAACAATGAACAATCTGTAGGAAGTTTGACATGTATCATGAAATCCCCACATCAACAAATATTTTCTCCAATAAGAACTGAATACAAAGCCTGAATCCCTTTCACTTTGTCTATTAGATGATGACAGGAGAAACATTTTCCTTAATATGTAATGGTATCAAAAAGGAAGAAAAGGGAATTACTTTAAGATTATTTATGTAGGAAAGAGTGAGAATAAAGTATAAAAGTGCAGTGGTAGTCAGGTAGATCATAAAACTCCACAGTGAGACCTGGGAATAGCATTACAAGCAATAGACATCYGTATAAGAAGCAAATAATATGAACAAAGAAGTGTTTACTTCTTAAACTAGGGTACAGTAGTCTACAGTACACARCATTTCTGGGGCTCTCCAGATCCACTGTACAATCTCTTCTTCTTGGCTCTGGTTTTTTGAAACTGACTTATGTTGATTATATCAGTGGGCTCCATTGTGGGTTAAATTGTGATCCCACAAAATTAMTATATTAAAATCATAACCCCCTAGTACCTCAAAATACGACCTTACTTGAAGATAGGATCATTAAAGAGATAATAGAACTACACGGAGGTCATCAGAATGCCTTTACTATAATATGATTAGGATATTTTTGAAAAGGGGAATTGCAATACTCAGACAAAATTTTCAGAGAAGGAAGACAATGTGAAGTGAAGGACAGAGTCCTGGAACAGATTCTATTCTCACAGTCTTCAGCAGAATTCAAACCTGACAACACCTTAATCTTGAACTTATAACCAACAGAACAGTGAGACAATAAATTGCATTTGCTTTAGCCACTCAGTTTGTGGTACTTTGTAAGACAGCATCACCAAACTAGTACGGTGTCCCCTTGACCTTGAGCTTTCTGCAGGTTCTGACAATGGGAAGCAGTGACAGGAAATGAGAGGAGAAGGAGAGTGAGGGCAGGACTTCTATTCTCTTGACCTGAGTGTGCCCAACAGGCTGGCTGGACTCCTTTCCTGGCACTCTCCTTTACGTTCTGATCACTCCTTACTTCCTGCTAGTCTTTACATGTAAAGGTGGTATCARAGTAACTCTGTTGACATCCATTAAATATGGATTCTCCAATCTCCAACCCCCTCTTTGCAAAAAGCTCATTCATTCAAACATGTTTAAATTACGTTAGTTGAATGTGTTTCTACTGAGAACTCAAGTCTCCTTAAATCAGCATGGTGGAGAATAGGTGAGCTAGAAATAACACATCCCACTTTCTTTTGCACTGTGTTCTCTAGAATTTAGTCATGTGGACACCCTGAATGGGAAGAGCACCTAGAAAATTTTTCTAGCTTTGCATTCAGGAGGAAAAACATCAGTTAAAACAATGCAGGATAGATATGTTAAGAAATATTTCTAAAAGAGAAATAAATAACTATACTTTTAGGATTAAAACAAAATATAATAATCAGTACTGCACTTATTAACATAAGTTAATATTATGCTATTTATTTATTAAATAAGTATATCTTGTTCAAAAATGTACACAATATCAAATTACATATTATAAACAATTGCATTATTTTCTTATATTTCTATTATTTAAACKACCCAACATTTTCATCAATTTTGGGACACTCTGCCTGAAAATGACAAATTATTTCATCTTTACACCATAAAATTTAAGTTTCTACTGTGTTTGGTAGACAATGTTATCTAAA